GCATGCTCCAGTGCACACTGCTTCCAGCGGCAGCCCTGCAACCAGCCCCACACCTTCCTGATGGCCCTCCAGCCATTCCCACACAGCCACTCACAGGCACATGGGTCTCGGGGAGACAGACTGATCCCCACTGCTGGCAAACCTGCTCAGCTGCCACGAGGTCCCATGAATGCATCTGGGAGGAAAGGGGGCTGGAAAGAGAAGAGCATCCATTGAACCCAGTGCCAGCATGAGAGTTTATCAAGTGGGGCCCTAAAATGGAGTTATAGAGGTGAATTAAGGCTGCTCAGGGTGGATGGCAGCATGGAGCAGACTGGTAGGAGAGCTGGTGGGGGCTCACCAGAAGCCAAGATCTGCCAAAGGCTGGGGAGGTTGGGCTCCCACAGGAGATCTCAGCGTCACATGCTGTCCTTCCCTGTCTTGACAAAGCCAGAGGGAGAATGGAGGGGAATAGGACAGAAGCTAGTTGGTTAGGAACAAATCAGACAAAGATGTGCAGATTCACCCAGGAACAATCACCTTCAGATAGCTGGAACCATGGGAAGCTTCCTGCTGCCCACAGTCCCTGGGCTGTGCTGGTGCAACTCAGAATGCTGGCCTTGGTTAACCTATTTCACCACAGCCTCACCCCTTGGCCCGGGCAATGCTCGAGCTGCTCCCAGGCTGAGCTCCAGCCTTCTGGGGGCACCCCTGGGCTCACCAGTTGCTGTCTGTGGATTTACCCAAGTTGTGCTTCTGGAGACGCAGATGAGTTACTCAATATGGATATAACACAGATGGAATCTTATTCCTGCAAACAAACTGTTGCTGAGATGGCCTCACCACAAGGCTCTTTGCAAGAGAGAACAATATCTTTTGGAAAGGCTGTGACTCATACCATGACCTGAGGAAAACCCATTCTCAGTAGAACAAGGTTTGTACACATTTTTCAAAGTAGAACAAAATGTGGGAATTCTAGAAAAACAAAACAAAGCAACAGAGAGTAAGTAAAATAACATTGTGCAACGTGTTTGATGACTTGTTTTCCTCTCTCATCTCTACAGCCAAACACAACCGGTCTGACAACTTCTGGAGTGCCCACGCAAAGCCCTCTGACGAGGCAGCTCCGCAGCTCCTGGTGCCACAGCCACTGCTGGGCCTGGAGGTGGGACACCCACACCCTGAGCTCCAGAACAGCTTTCCATCCCCTCCTGGGCAAGGCCCCTGCATGCATCTTCACTCACAGGCTGCTTCAGAAAGCCACAACTGCACCTGTGAGGAAAGGGGGCTGTGTGAAGAGTTTGGTGGAAAATACGCGAAGTATCGGCAGAGGGAAGATCTGTGCTCCAGACCACAGACAGGAGCTTTCCACTTCGGCTGTGGTTCTAGGCTGGTGGTCACTTCCCATCTGTATGAATCTGGTTCTTACCTGGAAAACCATGGGAGGGGGAACCAAAGTGGCAAATCTAACAGAGGCAAGGAACAGAATTAAGCAAGCTTCTACTTGTACCAGTCAACGCAACGCATTTGGAGCACACTTGATACTGTAATGCCTATTTTACCTCATCTACTGACTTCAGGTTTAACCAGGACCATGCACAATGCAAGGTCGCGTTGATGCAGTGTGACACAACAAACTAACCTGCCCAGGGCAGCATTTTTATTTCAGAGTGCTCAGATATCACACGGAATACTCTAAAGACTGCTCAGGGCTATCAAAAGAGCATCTCCAGGCAGCAATAGCCAGCTGGAACACGACTTGGTTCGGGATGTTTCTTTAGCAGATTACGTGGGGAACAGGAGACTCTTTGGCACAGAGACATTCTGCTCTTAGTACATAATGTGCAACAGGCCCATTATGTTGGCTTGTAGTTGTTTTTTTTCCCCCTTAATAATTACATTCAACCTTAATTCAACAAGTGAGAAAGCTAAGAAATGTTTCAAATTATTTTATTTTTGGAAAATATTTTCTTTGTTCTTGTTGCCCAACTACTTCAAAGGGCATTGCAACTACATTCACACCTTGTGGTTTCAGCGTAGCCAAACACATTTATTTCAAATTTGTATTCAGCTCTTGTATTCTAAGAATTTGTAATGCTGCCAACTGCATTTTCATTTGGAGGCAGCTAATATCTGCCATTATTAACCACATCCTACAGAAAGTAAGGGGGACTACAAGCCTTCCTTCATAGAAATAGTTCCACTATATAGACCCACAGTTGCCTAAGTGATGGCAGTTACACGGCTGCCTTGCTGAAGTCTCTGCCTGCCTCATCGAGGAATCATACCCTTGGTTGTCTATTTTTATTTTTTGTATGCTCTTCTTTCTGTTACAGAGAAAAATCTGTAAAGAAGCAAGGCAGCAAGTGAGTTACAGTCATGGCTCAGAAGAAATAAAGAAACAGGCTCCCAAATGCAAATTGGTTCCCATGGGAGTAATGCATAAGGAGGATTCCCCCAGGCCTCAAGTCTTGACATGAACGTGGGCCCAGTATACAGACAGACCCCTTTTGCTAGCACCAGAGTTGCAGATGCTTTCCAAGTTGGCTTGATGGTCTTGAGACTTGGTCAAACACCTGCAGCATTTCTGAGCCAGAATTCATAGATTTCCTACGGCTATTCAATGCAAAGGTGTGATATGTATCACCTGCCATGATGCTAATTGATTCAATAGTACTTACGGTATGGCATCTCCCTTTGTAAGGAAAGGACAAGCTGATTAAAAAGAAAATGGGAGGGGGGGAAAGGAAACTGGCCAATTTAGTTCAGTGTCCACTGGTATCATAAAAAGGAAACCAAGATAAGAACAGAGACCTTTTTGAGAGCAGCCTTCAGTTTCAGTAAATTCAGCCCAGAGCTGCCTGCTGAGGTAGCATTTCCAACCTCAAACTGCATTTCAAGAGCCCATTCTTGACATGGGGAGCTGCCAGAGTTCACTCGTGCAGTCACATGGTTTGAACTACTGCAGCAGAGTAAAATCATTCCTAGCATTAGTGGAATAAAAATCCCATTTCCTAGACTTCCGTAGGGCAGAATGCACACATCCAAATTACCTCTGCACCAAACTTTGAGTTGCACATAAAAACACATTCTGCATGGGAAAGCTGACAGTGGAATACAGTACCATTCATTCATTCAAATCACCATTCATTTGAAGAGCAGGCTTTTGGCCACTGTTGAATTCTGAAGTGTTCACTCTGGTTAGAGAATGGAAGATGGGGAAGGAGCGAAATACCGGAAGATTCAGAAAATCAGCTTAGCACTGAGCACTTGCATGGCTGTAAAGGATCAGTGTAAGCCTGTGACACATGCTATGAGAGAATGTAGCATAAGTGACTGCCTATTACACTGTCTCTAACCCAGAGCAACCGCCACTAAATAAATGGATTTTTCTGTATGGTGAATTGTTTAAATGCAGTAGTGATACTCAAAAGATACACTGATAGAGATACTAATGCCATCTCTAAAACAAAAAAATACTTATCAAATAGTCTGATTACATGTCTGATATACAGTGAGAAAGTAATTAGGAGTAGGGAAAAAAAAAAAACTATGGCAGAAGAAAAAATGAAAGTTTCATTTCCTTAAGCCTTCACGATAACCCCTGCTGAACTGCCCTATTCTCTATTTTCTTCTATCACAAACAGTACCTGGTATTTCAGGCTGGTGCAGATGCTACTGCTTGACACACCCACAAAAGCCTTCCAGTACAAAGCTGGAACAACTTCTCTTTCCCTCCCTTCTCTGTCTCCCCATGAGAGTTTAAATAACTTGCACATTGTTTAAAATGCAAAAAAAAAATTCAACTCCAGCAGACTCAGTGAAAGCCCGTTACCTCAGTTCTTATTTCCCCAGGTAAGAGGCAGGCTCTCAAGTTTCCTTCTAGGGCCTCAACACTCCTGGCATAGACTGGTCTCTAGGTCCATCTCCAATTCTTTCACATTTTTACTATGGTGCTAAAAAGTTTAGTTTTTAAAACTCTCTCCAAAGCTTCTACATAAGGTCAATAATAGGAACACTAAAGTTGTACATTCTACCTCTTACCCATTGATACATCTTGCTTGAATGGCCTCCATTGGGGCATTTTGGAATTTACCATCAACTTTCAGAAATCCTTAAATGCAGTCACACAACTCAGCAAGACTGGAAACTAAAGGATGACCAATCTGCCTCCATCAGGAGGGGGCTAAATATCAGAACTGTACAAGCTCACCCTACCGTATTTTTTGTGATGTGGGGGATAAAGGATTCATTTGTGCCAGACCACATCTCTATGCTAGCTTACTTCCCAAATTGATTCAGTGAAAAGAAAAATCCTTTCTGAAGTTCTCTGCAGAAGGGGAAGAAATAAAGTCCAACTCTTGCTAATTATTTTTAGGGGTGAGGAGGGCATTTCAGAAAGCATACTACAGTCCTCTGATTGCAGCAATAGGTCCAGAAAACATTGACATCCTCCTCCAGAAAACAGATTTCAGATAGCCTTCTATCAACAGCTCATTAACCTCCCTGCCTGCAATTCTGCAGAAATTGTATTCTTTGAATACAACACTGTTGCAGACAATTCTCACTCATTCACCTCTATCCATACTGCTCTACCTTCACCTCAGACATAGTGAAGTTCATCTGCAGGTTCGGGGTTAACTCCAAAGGAATAGCAGCTGACCTATATGGAGACTGCTCCTTCCTCCAAACACTGTAAGAACAGTGTGCAAGTGCCACATGGGATTGTGGTGTGCTACAGAATCCCATTACAAACCTTTTATAATGACATTTCATACCAACCAAGGTGTAGTATTTAAAGGGCTATTTCTAATCAGACACTGACCAGAGCCCAGACAGCGTGCTATTAGGGATTTTAAAACCCAGATGTGGATCTAGCTATTCTTTTTGTTTAATGCTTAAGCTTAAATTTTCAGTAACAGGTAGCTATAACATTCTGCTACAAAAAAAGCTGGATTCTAACTTGGTATTCTGAAAGGCCTTGTCAGAAGTACAACGTACAAAAAACCATGACAATTAAATCAGTGTTTAAGGAATTTTTATTAAACGAAGAATTTTATAATCCAAATTACGTTTCTTTGCTCAGCTATCAATTCCCACTGTCAACTAAAACAGTGGTGATATTCTGAGCTTTTCCACAGTAAAGAATTACAAAATTAAAGAAAGGAATGCTTTAAATTTTTGTACTGTGCTGAAAATTCTTTTCCCCCGGGTTTATAAAACATTAATTTGTATTTTTTATTTTACTATTTTTTTTTAATTTTAAATCAATAAGTAATCTAGGACTAGCATTTGTTTTACTAGCCCCGGCATTGCTCTGTACATTGACTTCAAAGTTTCCTTTCCTTTTTTTATTCATTTTATATTTTGCAATGTTTTTCTCAATATTTAATAGTTTTTCCATGTTTAAGTTTTTTTTTTTTTCTTCGGTGAAGCGAAGTTCTAGATTGTAGTTCCCGGATCTTTCTGTAAACAAAAACAGTGCTGTTAGGAGGATTTGAATTCAAAGCAGCCCCTTCCTTTCTGACATGCTTTCTGCAACTGCATACCTGAAAATACTATGGGCTTTCAGAGTATAACTCACACCAACGTTCTTTACAAGCACTGCATCAGAGAGGTAGGTGCCCCACTTTTTAGAGATGCTGAAATAAAGCGTCTCAAGTCTGTGATGCTTGGTTAAGATAAAGGAGTCTACAACTGAACAGCATGCTGCTCAGCCTGGCCTTGGACTAGGCACAATCCATTGTTACTGTAACAATTTGATTGCAGGTCATCTTTAAGGCCAGCATACCAAATGCTCTAACAATTAGTAACAGTACTTTCAAATTCCATAAAACATCATAGAGCACAAGCAGTAACATTCTTAGTTCAGCATAGACAACTGTTCAGCACTTGTTATCTCCAATGTTAAAGTATCACTAGCAAAAAAACTCAAAAAACATGGGAAAAGCATGACTCATTCTGCCTCCAGAAGGCCATCTCATGCCTGCAGAAAGGAGACCACCAAGAAAAATGAAGGCTAAGTAACCAAATTTAAAAGCAGGCCTTTTCTACCACTAGCTATAAACATGAGAAGTTCACATGCATGCAAAGCCCAACCAGACTAGATAGGGCATACACTCCTATGTCATCCTCAACTCAACATTTTTCCCCTTTTGAAACTGTAGGAATAGCACCTTTTGCTTCTTCCTGTCATGTAAGATTCAGATACTAACCTCTCAGAAGATAACCAAGAGAACATTGTAATTAGCATTAAAGCTAAACTGACTAAAACGTAAAATCAAGAAAATTTGTAATTTAGTTTTTAATTACTGTGATTTTAAATTTCGGCATACGTAAATAAATTATCGTGTAAATAGGCTATTCCATACATAAAGAAAATAGGGCTAAGCATCATTTTAAGCTTACTTCCACAATGTACTCAAGTTCTTCCTGAACTACAGTACAAATAGTAGTGTCTGACAGAACTGCTCATTTTTTTGCAGGCATGCACCAGCTAAACATGCTGTTAGAAAACAATGCTCCCATTCTCGCTAAATACATGAGATGAAGTGCCAGCAGCATTTGCTAAACAAGAGCTGCTGAACTGAACAGAATGGAGCACAAAACTATTTTATAACTGCAACCACAGCTGCTGCTGCTTTCTGTGGCTGCAAATGACAGAAGCTCACTGCCATGGACTAGGTACTACTGCCCTCATTAACCTACAACACTACATTACTCAAAAAACTTACTTATTAAACACTTGGAACCCCAGTAGGGTTATTAACTGCCTTTTGAGCAGCTTCTTTAGCTTGGTGGGCTTGTAGTACGGCTACAGCTTCATCAACCTGGTAAGTAAAAAAACATCAAAAATTAATAAAGGGAAGCTTATTTCTGTTTAAGTTAACAAACTGGTTTGAATTATACATACAAACAATTCCTGCATCATCAAGAAGAAAAGAATAACATCATAGTCTCATAGTCTCAGTTCATGCTAGCTTAAATGACTACTACCCACCAAAAGAAGATATTGGAAGTTCACATTCTGGGCCACTGTTGCACGTTGCCTACTCTACTGTGCCAGCATAAGAACCTGTTAAATCAGTGTGAAAATCACGAGGCAAAAGTCCACCTACCTTCGAACGAAGAGACTCAGGAGACTCGAGCATGTGAAGGAGTTCAGAGTTGTCAATCTCCAACAACATACCAGTAATCTTACCCGCCAGAGTAGGGTGCATGCTTTGAATAAGAGGAAATAGACGTTCACCTAGAGAGAAAAAATGTTATCTGGAGTGAGAAATCTTATATGATGAGGACAGCCTAGATTGGAGGAAAAAGAGCAACACAAGTCTCTTCGTTCCAACCTGAAAACCATTTATTCTGTATTTTAAGATTAGTAGCAGAAGTATACTGAGTACTCTACTACAAGTCATAAAGATACCATGTACATACCTAACATCTGCTTTTGTTCTTGTGGAGGGGCAGAAGCCAACATGGAAGCAGTCAAGGGTTCCTGACCTTGCACATGGACAGCAGGCTGCAAATTAATTTTACACCATTTAGAGATTAAATTCTAGCTTATAATTAGTTGCAGCTTCAAATATCCAGTGTTACACAACTCAGCATAAACAATGCCTACACTGTCAGAAACCTGGAATACATTACATCCAAGTCAATTTAATCAAACAAAGCTGGTTCGGACTGAGCGATGTTGGAGATAAGCATCAACCGTTCCATTGTGGAGCAATCACAAGGAAAATTCAGTTTAAGGTATCAAACTAGAAAATATAAAGTAACACAGGATCGCATCCCATCGCAGGTGAACTTGAAACATACTTAAAACCCCAAACTCTACTGGTGCCATAACGCAAAGCCTGAATTCTAGATAAACAAAGGAAACTCTTAATCATACACATTTCCACCCTTAATCTGCAGAAAACCCAGCAAAAGCATGACCAGTTCCTAAAATTACATACCTGCTGCATGGCAACCTGTGGCTGTGTATTAAGATGCTGCTGAGGATTGCGAACACCTGCAGCATATTTGTACTGTGGTACTGTGCGTACAGCAGGAGTAGCTGCAGTAGCTGCTGCTGCAGGACGTGGACCCATTGTTTGTGTTGATGTATTAGCTGAAAAGATAATTCTGTTGGTGAATAATTCAATCTTTAATTCAGCATGCCCTGTACAAAAGTTAACCAATCAAAAAGGAACACCTAACTCAGGTACTGTGTTATTGATTCATCTCAGCAGAAGTGTCACATCGAAGCTTCAAAGCTAGAAGTTTACTGGTTGTCACTTCATAGCCATAATCACTAACGAGTTGCTTTTTCCTACGTGCTATTTAAAGATATGCAAGAAAACATTCACTTTTGGTTAAATATTGATTGAATTTCATTCTAACCTCACAGGACGCTGGATTTCCTGAGTGCATGCTGTCAATAGCAATCCTAAAAAAGACACCTTCATGAAGTATATGGCTAAAGAAACCCACTGCTTCAGATGTTATCAGAGAGTTAAGACTCCAACACAATTAGATCTAGTTCATTCAGTGACATGCAGGTTCTGGACACACAATAGTTCTGCTACTCAATGGTAAGATCTAAAATTGTGTCATTTCAGAATTTTCACATGTGAAAAGCAGCTGCAATTGTCACCCCGATGTTTAGAAATGGCAGAAGCTGACATACAGCACTACTGAAACGCACGCTACAGGAAATGAGAGATGGGGACCACAGCAGAAAACTGATTTTCAGTCTTTGCTGGGATAGTATTCTACACAACTGCCAAAAGGAGAGACCAGCTTACCAATCTAGTAAGAGCTAGAAAAGAACTTATGAATGTTTGAGAGACTCTGAATCAGCAGAACTAAAAAGAGGTTTTATACTTAAAAGTTATTAGAAGGGAAACTCACCAACACGTTGTGTTGACATGACTCGTGGTACTTGTGAAGAAGCCGGTCTCATGGTACTAAATGGTGGTCTGGGAGCTGCCGGGCGGATAGCACCAGGCATGTTTTGGAATGCTGTGTTTTAGGAAAGATATGTTACGTTACACACTGAAACAGCAAATGGTGAGAAGAGTTCAGAAGTAATACCATAGCAAAGACTCATACTGTGGTTCCACGAAAACATATCTAAGATGTCAAAGGTAAAGGCTTATTGTGTTGATCACCACTGTTGGAAAAGCAAAGAAGAGACTTACGATGAGGTCTGGCACCCTGAGCAGTCCAGCGAGGACTAGGTCTAGCAAGTTGAGCAAGTTGATTAGTAGGATAGTATGCAGCACGGTTCTGAGTCTGTCAGATGCAAAAACATTATGTTACCCTGTTATCTTCAGAGGGCGTGCTGAGCAGTGACTCACCTTTCTGCTACAAAATTACAATGCTGAAATTATGAATAAATGCTAATTGTTTTATTTACTTTTAAATCTAAACAAATTATATATATAGTACTAAGCATTCAGTTACTCAGCTTTATACGTACCTGTGGGATAGCTGCCATGAAGTAACCTGAAGGAGGTGCTGGTTGGTAGGGGTTGATTACTGGGTTAGGGACTGCTCTTACACTTGCCATTCTCTGCATATACTGGTTGGTGAGATGAGCTTGGCGCTCTTCTTTACGCTGGGCTAGAGCTACATATAATGGTTTAGTAGCCACAATTCTACCATTCATCTCTGTGACAGCTTTGGTGGCTTCTTCTGGTGATGAAAAGCAGACAAACCCAAATCCTTTGCTGCGTCCACCTTCCATCATGACCTGTCAGTAAGACAAGAAGATGTTACATCTGGTCCTAATCAACTTACACAAGCTCCTTTTTTCAGCTTATTATGCAAGTGAGACCACAGGTTTGTTTTACTGAATGGATTTATAAAAACGAATGTAATTTAATGACAAGCTAATTCTTTAGTGAATACACTAAAGAAATTATTTAGTGAATACACTAAAAATAAAAACCTCAGTGAGGTAAAACTGAGTACACAAATGCACTAAAATATAACATTTTTCTTCAGTAATGTCAATACAGTTTATGTCAAGAAAGGTATGATGCGTTTAACCTGAAATACGTAAAAATAAAGAAAACGGGTGTTCATGAATATATAACAATATTAACAATGACAGGTGACTGGGTCACATTTCTCATTCCTCCCTCTCCACTCATCAATTAAAGCACAAGTCCAATCTGTAAGTTTTACCTTTGCACTAGTGATTGTACCAAATGGGGAGAATTCTTTTCGAAGACGTTCATCATCAATTCCATCATCGAGATTTTTCACGTAAAGGTTTACACCCTAAGAAAATAAAAAGTTAGTTTTGAAAACACATGACCTACATAAATACAAAAATGAAGTTAGTTATCTTGAATTAAAAGGGAACCTGGTATCTGGTGATCCTGTCCTGCTTCATTTGCTCAAATTTACGCTTCAGCTCCGTCTGTCTTTCCACTTTTTTCTGAGCCCGTCCAACATAGATTTGTTTCCCATTGAGCTCTTTTCCATTCATTTCATCTACAGCCTTTAGTAATAAACAAGAGGTTAGCAGTGTTTTGTATTTATTGAGATATTTGTATTCCATGTTATTTAAAACATCATATGTGCACATCTGACTACTGTAAGAGAAGCAATTCACTTATGAATGTATGCAAGACAGAAAAATATACTTTTAAGACAGTACTTGTTCCCATCTCTTGCATGGTTACTTGCACTACAAACAAATCAAACAAATTACAGAACTGTCTTTTGAAAAGCAAGCTTGATTTGTTGCCTTTATCTCTTCTGGGCTGAGTTTTTTTCCTCCTGATTCTATGTCCTTCCTGTCATAGTAAACTGACACAAAGCAACCAGTTGCCAAAGAATTAAATCATACAGCATACTGGCATGCTATAGACACATACACAAATTAATAGGACCTTGTTCCAAAGTTACTCTTCAAGGTAAAAGCAACATCACAGGGCTGACTATTTTCTTAAAGCTGTGCCAAATGTACTCATAAAATTAATAGCCTTCCTGCTGACTTTGCAGTACTGAAGTCTGAAAAAGCAATCCTTTCTGCCTTGCACTTGCACAAGTGTTTTGTGCAACCAAATTAGATCCAGTGATTCATTTGTGTTTTGCAGAGATGTAATAATTTACCATGCTTGTGTGTTGCCCAGTATGAAGAAATCCAAATCTCACTGAAATCTTTAAGCCCAGCTACAACAGGTTCTTACATTATTCAAAATGTCTCATCTCTACATCAGTTACAGCTTTCTCAGAGTATCTTAATAGGCTCCACAAATGAACTCATTTTGCTCATAAAAAAGCATTTTAAGTGATAGAAACTACATGCAGTTGTCTAGAAAGCAAATATCTGGTTTTGCAGTGCCCTTGGGCAAATATCTCCTGATCTATTCACAAACTTCCTAAGTGCTCACTGACACTTCTTGTTCGGTTTTCAATCAGAATTCCTAAGATGAAGTACAAAAAGCTTACTTTTTGGGCATCTTCATGTCTTTCAAAACTGACGAAGCCAAAGCCCTTGGATTTTCCACTCTCATCAGTCATAACTTTCACGCTTAAGGCAGGACCTAAAATGTCAATGAAATATTTTATGTTGCATATGTTCTCTTCATGTCTTGAATACTGTTTAGAAATTTTAATATTTCATTTCTTCATTTTTTACCACAAAAGATTCCTGCATCAACAACAGTATCTAGGAAATGCCACCCATTAGGATAAGACTGCTGATCTGCCCAGATACTGAACTGTAGCCTTTATGGCTGACACCTGCCATACTGAGTATCTTTTGTATTGCATTTTCAATCATAATGGGATAGGAATTTAACTTCAAAGTGAATTCAGTAATTTTTAATGGAAAAAATAACATTTGAAGTGCTAGTGCTTCCACTCTTTGAAATAGGTACTAAAGGCCGGAAAGGAGACTCTTCTATTAGCTCTATGTGCTTTGGCAAAATGATCTCAGCTCAGCAGTTCTGAACCTTTGTAAAACTGCCGTCCAAATTCAGTTGCAAGAGCTATTAGCTAAATTTGCTACCATTTCATCCACAGATATGTCAGTAGTAAAAAGTAATTTCCTGTGAACGCTACTTAAGGCTGCTACAGGATCTTATGTACAAGGCTCTGCCTCCATTTACATGACATCCACTGGAATCCAGCAAGACAGAGGAAAAATAAAAACACTATAAAAACCAGAAGGCTGATGATACAATAGATATGGCCTATAGACCAGTGCGAGGGTCTGTGACTGGATAAAGGAAGTTTTCCACTTCCTAATTCAACAGTAACACATCAGATACATTACTAGATATACCCCCACAATAATTCTGCCCTGTGCATAACCAAGGGTCAAGACAGAACCGAATGCTTGCTCATGGTGAAGTTGCATTACTTGCAATTTCTTAAGTCAGCCACCACAATGCAACTGAATAAGGAAAGCACAGATACTCTGAATAAAGGTTAGCCTGCAAAGCAGTGAAAAAGCAACAGGAAACTCATTTGTCATGTATCCTGTAGTGAACTCTTAGGATCAATCCACAGAACACAAAACATTTCTATTTGCAACTTCAAGATCTGCAAAATCCACTAAAGAGACTATTTACACAATATTTTCAGATCATCAGAAAGCTGATAGGAGGATTATATTCTATTCCAGTTATTTAAAATTTTGTAGTGGGTATTAATTACTATCTCAAATTCAAACTGTAATAAGGACTAACTTATTAAATAAAGCTGCAGACAGCCACCTGATTGCTCATACTACTAAGCACTGTACAGATACAAACTAAGTTGAAGTTCAGCAGTATTTATATAAACTCAAAGCATAAGACATTACCAAACTTGCCAAAGAGTTCCTTAAGTCTCTCATCATCCATGTCTTCTCCAAAATTCTTGATGTAAACATTGGTGAATTCCTTTGCTCTGGCTCCAAGCTCTGCCTCACGTTCCTTGCGGGATTTAAACCTTCCAACAAATCTGGTTCCAGGAGAACAGAAAAGGTATATTAAGAAAGCGTGTCAAGATTTAAAAAATGACTTAAATCCTCTTGCATCATATTTTATTCTCAATCATTCCCATTATTCATTATAGGCATGAAATTCTTGAGATAAAGTATTCAAGATAAAGCTATCAAAACCAATTTCCCTATCTTTTTCATATCGGTGCACTTATCGCAATTATGAGCAAAAATGCTTTCAAGTTATTGGCAACACTGTTCGTTCTTGTACAGCCTTTGACATCAGGAGATATGGACAGTGGGAAAGAGCGCTAGGTAAACTGAAATTCTAGATACCAGCATAATCTCTCTGCCACACTGAAAACATGGCAGCCTTGAAATCATTCACCATTTGCCAACCTAGCTTTTAAGCAGGGGATATGAACTAGCCTCCCTCACACCCTTATGTACCTAACCTCTGTCAAAGCAAAGTTGTTTTTTTTTTTCCTTCACTCAAAAGGCATGGAGAAATAAATAGTGCAACTTGCTCTGCAGTCAAATACCACTGTGAATTGGCTAAGGTCAGAAACATAAGAGAGACTGAACACCCCGCACTACAAAGAACTCGTCTAACACAGAAGTTACAAGACTAATGCTGATTTCTGATTACTATTCCAAACGCCATAATGATCAATTAGCTCCGAGGCAGCCATCCGCCAATCCGGCCTAGTTATCACTAATCAATAACCTAATAATCTGTTTTTTCACTACAATATAAGAGTAACTGTGGTTTTCAAAATATTGCTTCCTTAAGTTTTGTTTCCTACTCCTGTTCCCTGGGCGTCTATTAACAGACACTCGTAAAAACATTTCGTATAATCAGACTACTCTTCAAGATTGAGTAGCTTGGGTGCTCCAAGTTTCACTCAAAAAAGGAGAACACACCTATCAAAAAAATTTATAAAGAAATCATTACTGTCCAGAATACCCCATGGGCTATACTTCATCTGGGATCAGTAACACCATAAAAGAATTTCCCAAATCTTCATCAGAGCATCGGCTCATAAGGCAACCGATAAAACTTTTCTTCTTCTCTAGGAAGAGTTTTCTGAACTTATTTTGCCTTAAAGTAGGTAATGCAGCTCCTACTATTGCTAGCGCTCAAATTCTAAATTCTCTTTAGAACCAGAAGTGTTCAGAACAACCTGCCTTTTCTAAGTAAGCCTTGAGATATGTGTCTAGAGTAACTTGAATTCAGTTTGTTGATCTCCAACGACGTATTTATGTACTTACACTTTGCGGTCATTAAGCAGCATACCATTCATTTTTTCAATAGCTCTTTCTGCAGCTTCTTGTGTCTCAAAATGTACAAATCCATAACCCTTGGATCCATTTTCATCACATACCACCTATTAGAGAAAAACTTTGTTGTAATAATCATGGAATGCTTCCTGCATAATTTGAATTCTTTTTTTAATGTTAAATCGTTAAATGCACCCATAGCTTGTCACTAACCTTACAAGAAAGGATGTTTCCAAAAGCAGAAAAAGTGTCATACAAAGCTTTGTTGTCAATTGATTTGTCCAAGTTTTTGATGAAGATGTTTCCAACGCCACTTTTGCGTAGAGATGGATCACGCTGGGACCACATAATGCGCACCGGTTTGCCTTTGATGACATCAAAATTCATAGTATCCAAAGCTCGTTCAGCTGGAAAAGAATCGTGGAATTAGTGGAAAATACTAAGGTTACTTAAAGAAGCACAAGAATAGCATTTTAAGTACAATCCTTCAGAAAACTTCAGCTGTTTTAAGTCCGGTACCACAGCCATCAAGATGCATACCCAAACTTTCAAGGCAAACAAAATCCGTTCTTTTATGCAAGTAAAAATTGGCAAGTACCTTCTCAGCTAAGGCAGCACTGAAGAAAAAGGAAGGTGCACAGGTCAGCTGGGTAAACAGAAGAAATCCCAGTAGCAGTAGTGACTGTACCCTGCTGTGCAAAGGAGTGACCCTCACAGAGGAAATATATCAAACAATGGCAATTCTGACCCATTTTCAAAGGAGGAAAGGTTTTAACATCTGTAAAATTCAGCTGACCATCCCTAGACCACATATGTGTGTACCATTCCAATAAAAATGTTTCTGGGGGTACAACATATGCCCACACCGGGCCTTTTGCCAGCATTAACATACCAGTGCCTAAGTCACCAACATCCCCATAAACTGAGAGAACTGCTTTGCCAGGTGCAGTTCAAGCAACTGTTTCACACAGCACTTCAGTAACAAAAATATCTGTGATGGACTTCCAGACCAGGGACAGTTCAGAGAGATGTAAAACTAGTATTTAAATTAGAAAAGTCTCAAAAAACATACATTAAAAGTTCACAATTGAATATACACAAGGTCAAAGAAGGAGCAAGCATTGAAACAGCACAATGCAGTAGCATAAACCAGCTTTTGTTACTCCAATGGAGCAGCTTTTCCAGTAGAACTCCTTAGCTAACTTTTCAAAGCCTGAATTTAAGACCTCAGTACACTTAGGCAGGGAACTGTCAAGACATCCTCAGTTTTCTTATGTCCTTTCAAAGCAATGACACACGCCTGTGATCTTTTAAGTCAACAAGCTATTTATGCAAGAAAGAGACAGCTCTAATTTATGGCAGAGCTCATCTCCTACACAAGTTTTTTTTTAATTTTTGTTCTTGTCTGGAAGAACATAAGAAAAAGTTCTGATACACACCTGAACTCATACCCATCTGCACCAATTCATTTCACTGCCATCTGCGCATAGGAGAGCACTGAGATGTTAACAAGACTGAAATCATTTTGTATTAATTTAAAGAAAAACTGTAACCGTGTCAGTTATTTGCTTTTCTGAGAAGCACTAAAGGCCAGCCACATTGTCAAACTCAATCTCTTTTTCCCTTAAAGTGCTGCTCACATATCTGGCTTTGTTACTGGACACCATGGCCAAGAAAACTTGCAATCAGCCTCTGGTTAGCTGGTACACTGCGTTATCGCCTTTCTTGCCGTGATTCAGATTGCAAGTGAATTTTAAGATTATATTTCCTGAAAGACATCTGAAAAGGATAACCAGGTAAATAGTTGCTTTATTGTTAAAAATGCCTATTGATACTGTTACCATATTCACATGACTGTAGCAAGATAACTGATTTAGTGGCGAAATGACAAAGATGTAAGTATTATCAATCTTTATACGCCAATGAAGATTTCACAAACTTTACTATAAGTAAAGCAGGAGAGAAGAGCCAGCCTAAGTCACTGATTTTGGGCAATGAAATGCAGCAGAGCACTTTAAATTACTAAAAAGACCCGATAAACAAAATCAACTGTGGACATCAGGACATGCTGTAGTAGAACCATCTAACACCGGCCTTGCCCTGGAAGTCATTAGAACTATTACTGCCAGCACCAGCAAAAGTGCCAGTAATAAACAGCTCATTATTTCCAGAAGTAGCAACAGGGCTTGCTTTTACTAGAAAATAGGCTTTTCCAATTTGTGCTAATTGCTTCTAGAATAATCCTGACACTTCTCAAGAATGTGCGTTCCCGGACACATTTCCCAAAGTCCCAGACATCTGATTCCAAGCAAAGGTGTCCTTCCCCGCCTGTAACACCCTGCTCCGCACTAACCGCCAGCTGTATCTCAGCCTGATACAAGTTATCCAGAACAAGGACAGCATGGCAATCTCTGCTCCTCTTTTTCTCTGGAGCACACGGCCAAGGAATGTCAAGACTTCTGCTTAACCAGCACCACACTGCCACACCACAATATACTTTAAAACATCACTCGAATATTTTGCACAATTTACTAGGTATAAATTACTCTCATTAAAATCGGTAGGCAGTAAAATTGGCTTGCTTCTTTGCATTTCAGCTGGCTGCCACAGAAGTCCGTGCTGGTTTGCAGAGGACAATCCCATTCAGCAGTTCACTTGTGACATGCAGACACACCTACCCATGCTACACTTCTGCTGATGCTGCCCAGCTTTATGCAATGAGTCAGGGTTCCCATTTCAGTCACAGCAACTGGCTGGTCGACTTCAGAGCAACTTCACCACCGCACAGAAAACATGCTCAGCGCTGAGCTGCACTGTATCTACTCAGGTATAGCTATAAAACAATATAATAAAGCTCTGGAAATGCAGCCACTGACAAACTGAAGGGAAACTGTTCAAAAATAGGTGTAGTTCAGTGATGAAATGACGTTTCCTGGGCTTTACTCTGGACAGTGACTCAAATTCAGAGAAGTCACAAGTGTGAAATGTGCGCATACCTCACAAGTGTGTCATCAGCCTAAGGAGCTTGGGGAAGAGCTGTGAGATCCCCAGTTCAGACAGCTGCTAACTCAAATGCACCTCCCAACGCTTTCCTAAGCCCCAGCTAGTAGTTACCAGCTGCTTAATGAGCACAGGCTGGGGTGTAGCTAAAAATTAGGCTAAACCAGGAGAAGGCAGCTAGCATGGAATTAAAAGGAAACCAGTATGATGACAAGAGTAACCTTTTCTCCTCAGAGTTGTTATTTCAAGGCTTCAGAAAATGGGTTGTGCGCCCAGCAGACACTTTCTAGGTATTTGTCAAAAACATCAAATTCTAAACTCACTGCAAAACTATGATCACGGTATCACTGCAGTGCACCCCAAGCAAGAGCCTCCAGGTAACTGGGGTGCACGGAGGGCAAGATTTGGAAAATTACCTAAAAATGTGAAGAAACAGCCTTTTCATAAAAGGCCTGTTTTCATATTCTGTCTGAGCAAGCACTGCTCAGGTGAAAAGCTCCATTGACTCCCATATGTGACAAATGACAAAATAAGTACAAAGCTTGGGGCTGTTCAGTTAACCACAAAGGTGAGGCCTGTTTTACAGAGCTCTGTCATTACCGAGGAGGAAAAGCATCTGGAACACCCTCAGCTTCTGCCCTGACATTATCATACCACAGTGCTGACCCTCTGTTTTCCTTTTTGAGTGACCTGCATCGTAACTTTTTAATGACTAAAAGCAACGTGTGGCAGGGCAAGCATTCAGATTCCATGATTCTGAACACTGGCTGGGCAGATGAAAAGCTCTCTGAAGTCAGAGGGCTGAAAACAACTGAAATCTTTCACGAAAAGGGGTAACTTTTACTCCGCTCCTCCCATCCCAACACCATCAGGGCATCAGAGATCCCACCCTGATGGCAGCTGTGTGCTGAGGCCAATTCCGACGGGCAGACAATTCAAGTGCCTGAAAAGGTAGTAACTCAGACCTCTCGCTCTCATATGCTTGAAAATAAAATCACTATAACGGAAAGCTGTTTAGTTGACATTATTTGAAACCGAACATGCTCTCGCTGGCCAAATTATCTCTTGTAATTGGATTCCACAGAACTTTACGGGGGTCAGACGTGTCCCTTTATAGGAACGCCCTGGCACGCTGAACTCAGCAGAGACGCGACCAGAGCGACACGGGAACTTTCCTTACTGATGTAACTTCAGAGAAACGGGAGCACCGCAGAGTTCCGGAGAGGCAGCAAGCCGCCGAGCAGCTGTCAGCGTGCGGCGGGGCGGGCCGGGATGCGGCAGGGCCGGGAGGCCGAGCGGCTCCCCGCTCCCACACGTGACGGGCCGCCACAGCGCCGACGCATCGCTCCGGCCTGCGCCGGGGCCGGGCCGTGCGGCGGCCCGATGTGCCGCCCGCCTCCCGCCGCCTCCCCCGCCCCAGCCCCGCTCGCGCCGCCGCGGCCGTTACGGAGCGGCCGGCACGGCGGCGCTCCCCGCCCCCCGCCCCCCTCGGCCCCGCCGCCCCCCGGGGCCGCCGCCGCCGCGCCGGGCCCCGCGCCTTCCCCTTTCGCTTCCCGGCAGCGCCGCCCCCCCGCCCGCCACGAGGCGCGGACGGCCCCAGGCCGCGCGGCGGCACCAACTTCCCGGCCTCGCTCCCCGCCCGGCGGAGCCCCACCCCGCGCCCGGGGAAAATGGACGCGGCGGCCGGGCCGGGCGAGAGGGGGGAGGGAGAGAAAGGGGGGGGGCGGGGTAACATGGCTCCGCGGCCGGGCCGGGCGCTCGCTCACCGTCGGCGGGCTGCTGGAAGTTGACGTAGGCGTAGCCGAGAGAGCGCCGGGTGATCATGTCCCTGCAGACGCGGATGGAGAGGATGGGCCCGGCGGGGCTGAACTTCTCGTAGAGCATGGCCTCGGTCACGTCGGGGTGCAGGTCCCCCACGTAGAGGGAGGCCATGGGGTAGCTCGGGGCGCTGGGGTTCATCCTGCCGCCGTCTCCCGGCGCGGGAGGGCAAGGGGGAGGCGCTGGCGAGGCGAGGGGGCCGCGGCGGACGGGCGCTCCGTCGGGGCAGCGGCCGGCGGGAGGCGACGGCGGCGCCGGGGGGATCTCCGGAGGCGGATTCGAAACTTAACGGCTGCGGGCGGCGGCGGCGGCGCGGCGGGGCGGGCGCTGCGGGCCGGGCCTGGCGGTGCGATGCGGTGCGGCGGGGTCGGGCGGGCTGCTCGGTGTCTCCTCTCGGCTGCGCCGGGTCCGGGACTTCGCTTCACCGGGTTCTTTTATATCAAACCGGCCGGTTGCAGGAGGTCGTCGGGAGGTGGAAGGAAGGGAGGCTTATTTTTTTTTAAAAAGGTTTTTTTAAGATTTTTTGATTTTTTTTGGCTTTTTTAGTATTTTTAGTAATAAATGGTGCGGCGGGGCCGGGCCGGCGTGTCCGGGTGTCCGGAGCACACGCACTGCGCACACAGCTCCGACGGCGGCCGGGGGACAAGGGGGAGGCCGCCGCCCCGGCCGCGCACTATATATACCCGCCCCGCCCCCACCCGCCCCCACCGCTCCGCACGCCACGCACCGACGGCGCGCACGGCGCATGCGCCGCCGCGGGGGGAGGCGGGCGGCCGCGGGGGGCGCCGGCCCAGGCGCACGCGCAGCGGCTGCAGGGGAAGAGGCCGGGAGGGAAGGCGCCTGCGCCTCGCGACGTCACCGGGGGCGGTGGGGGCTCGGCGGCAGAGCGCACGCGCCGACGGCGGAGCACATGTGCGCAGCGGGGGTGGGGCGGTGGGAGCCGGCCGAGCGCCGCGCGCACGCGCGAGGGTCGAGCGGGAGGGGTTTAGCGGAGAGGCGCGTGCGCCGCGCCGCGTCGCGCCCCGCCCCGCGCGTGCCTGGGGCCGTCCGCGCGGGGAGAAGGCGAGGGAGCGCGCGCGCGCGCGCGCGCGCGGGAGGGCAAAGAAGGTCGCGTGCCGGCCGGAAAGGGACGGCCCGGCGCATGCGCGACAGCGGCTCCTTCCGCCACGTGGGGGGGGCGGTGTGGGGGGCTCTGACGTCGCGTGGCGGTGGGCGGGGCTTGTAACGGCCTCGGGGCCGCGGCGGGAGCGGGTCGTGCCTGGCTGCTCGGCTCGTTGCACTGAGCTTCGGGGCTGTGGCGGTCCCCAGGGGAAAGCAACGGTGCTGGGGGTGTGGGAACGTCCCGTGTGCTTTCTGTCGGTTCTTCGCACCTAAATGGCTTGTGGTGAACATGGGCAGGCTTTCTGTATGTTTTTGTTAACTCACGAGTGCAGGTTCTTACGGAAGAATGCGGTCAGCTGTGCCTCACGGTGCTGAGCTCGCAAGTGCGCGAACAAGGCCAGCAGCCGCCCTGCGTTTGTGAAAGCCTTGGGTAGAGCGGTTTTTTAATCTGTAATACAGTTGTTGTTGTTCAATAAAAGTTCCAGCAGAAAGAGGAAGCGCTGCGTCCTGTTTCATTCTCCTGCCACCAGCATTCGCCATCTCAGGCCGCAGGTTCCTCTTCGCCAGCACTGCGGCTCTGCTCCTTATGGCCCCAGCCCACAGCCGGGCCTGCATCACTTGTGCCTCCCAGCAGCGGCCCTCTGCTCACCCCCTGCCCACAGAGGCGTTCCGTGCTGGTAAGGCAAGGCTCTGCGTCAAGGTGGCTGATGTGAACTCGCCCTTGGCTGCTGGCCCTGCCGTAGCAATGGTTGCTTCTGTCAGTAAGCCAGACGGTGTCGGCAGCACCTTCCAGCACGGTTGGACGTGTTAGAATTTAAACTCCAATTTTTCTAGTAAAAAAAAATTACACTCACTAGTTTACATTCTGGTTTATAATGCCCTCCCTAGGATGTGCTGTGTACTGTTCCATTCCTGCTTCTTTTCACCACGTCTCATTTCCCCATGATTTCTCTGTCACTGGTACCTGGGTTTTATTCTTACTTACTTCTTCTTGCCCACACATCTGTCCTCGGCACTCCTGGATGGCGGCAGACATCAGAGTTTTTTGACACTGAATGCTATTAGGGAAGTTAAGATATCCATCTTAACCTCAGATGGATATCTGGCAAAGTTCAAATTATAGTTCAAAAGCTCTGGAGCTTTCTAGTTAAGTATTTCTACTATTTCTTCTTTCACCAAAATAATATGTTTCTTGTCTTTGTAGGTTATGCTCATGCAGTTTTGACTTGAAACAGGGATGTAAACATTAATAAAAGTGTTGCTGTCTTCACACTCTACTTCCCTATAATGACATAAATTGTTAAACTGGAAATGTGAGTTTGCTTTACAAGAGAAAAAAGCTTCATGATAGGAGGTAGGTAAGTTAGGCAGTGCCCAGAACAATTGTCCTGTCCTCCTATAACAAAAACATTTACCTTACTTTTCAAGATGTGGCCTAGGTGTTTTAAAGCAAGAAGAAAGGATGCTTTTGTGGCTGGGACACTAAGTTTGAACTGAGGTCTAGATTCTGTTGCTGGCAAATTGTGCTGGTCATTTAGGGGTCCGTCTTGTAGAGGACTTGGAAGATTACACAAACTGTGTCCTGCTGCTGCTCGCCCAGAGCTGCAGTTTAGAGCCCCAGCTGAGGGCCAGGCTGAGAAAGGTAGCCTGGCAGGAAGGCCCTGGGTGGTGCTGCCCGCTCTGCCCTTCTTGGACTCTCCAAGATCCATTTCAGCTCTGCTGCTCTCCACTTCTACATGTTGTCGGGTGGAAGCTCCTGTAGCACATTTGTCTCATCAGCTGGGCTTCCATTGCAGGTTTTAAACATGCACAACTGAGCCTAGAGTTGGTCTTCTTTATAGAAATGGCTTTTTTGAAGCCAGAAGCTTGGGATGTGGCTAGAAGACATCATTCAGTGCTTGATAGCTTCAGAGGATCCAAGCCAAACAGGAATTGAATGAGGAGTAATAATTCCTTATTTACAAATCTCTGAAGTATTTCACAATCCAGATAGTAGGACTTACCTGGTGGGCACATTGTCTCCTTTCAGCTAAAGGTTTGTAGAAAATAGAAAAATGATCAAACTTCATGCATTATTTTTCACTAAGAGCAATTGATTAATAATTAAAACTAGCAGGATACCTGTTCTCTAAAGTGTTATACGGAAGTTGGGTAAAGATCCCTTGTAATTCAGAGGTCTACACAGATACAAGAATCTTACTTTTCTGCCAACAGTATTGCGATTTGTGAATGTGATTATATTTATTCTGGTTTATCATGAAAATGTGGAATTATTGAGATTTGTTCAGAGCTCAATGAATTTCCTCTTCATTGCCTAGGAATTAGGGCTTTTTGATGTATGGTGGAGCTGGTGGAAATGATGCAAATCCAGCTTTGTAGTTAGCTAAAGGAAGCATTTTTGAATTGTACCTGAGAAGTGCGAATATTGAAGAGCAATACCTGTCAAAATTGACACAGTTGATATTTGATTTGGAAAAAGTTTCATTGTTTAGAATCTGCATGCTGTGTTGCTGGGTTGAGGAACTGCATGATCTCTTTCACATCTCAGCATTTTCCTTCTCAGTTTAGCTGCAGTGTAACACTGCATGCTAACATTGCATTGTGAAGGCTAAAACCTTGATGCTCTGTGTCAAAGAGATAAGGAAGAACGTGTACCTTTAGAAGGTTTCTTTAAACCGAGGGCCTGCTTGATAATGCTGTTTGCTTTTGGCAGCTAACTTCGTCCAAATATGCTTCCAGTGCTGAGATAAACTTATGAGCAGGGTCCCAAATTCTGAGTATTTTGTTTAATAAAAAATAAAAACGTAAAATGGAAAGCTAGATCTAAACCTCACAGGCTATGTATTTTGGATCTTCTCGGGCATGGGCAAGAGCAGTTTTCCTTTTTTATTTTAGTGACTATTTAATATGCAATCTTCTTCCACGTAAAGAACCATTTCCTTTACTGAACCAGTGAAGGAGAAGTCATTTTTGCAGAGAACAGGGGAAGCATCATCATTCTCAGGCAGCCTTGACATGAGGGAGGTGGTTAATAATGCTGTAATGTGCCTGAAGCAAACAAAGCAGCAGGTTTGTGTAGTGGGAGTTGTTTCTCCAGTGCAAAGTGCAGCTGAGGGAATGGGAAGGTGCTGAGTATGGTCAGAAATAGTGCAGCAGTTTTCCCCTCATGTCTCAGGAGTGTACTCTGCCTCCCACACCTCACTGGAAGAGAGCCTTGGCATACACTGTCAGGGTCGGAAGGACAGATGGACAGAAGAGGAGGTGCTGGAGTAGAGCCTGGGAGCAGAGCTGTGCTGGGAAGGCCCTGTCTGGAGGCTCAGCTGCTCTGGATCAGAATTGCTTAACTGAGGGGCATGCTCCCTTCATCAGGAGTTATAGCATTTCTTCCTAAAGAGCCAAAGTACTTGAAGCAAATATATTTGAGCATTATGCTGCTGTTCTGAGTACCCACAAAGTGCCTCACAATGACTGGTAATTGCTGTGCACTTGGGGGAGCAGCAACATTACCATACTTCTATGCAAACACCTACTTTCTAACAGATTCTTAAAGATACAGAATGAAGGGGGAAAAAAAAAAAAAAAGGCAGGCAGGAAGGAAGCCTGATAAGTGTCCTAGTCCATTCTCTCCCCAGTGAGGACACTATGTCACCTCTGACCAAGATTTTTCAGGCATTTTCATAGATATTCTCAAAGGATGGCAGTTCAGTAATCTCCAAGGATCTCTGTTCCAGCACTGTACTCTTCTTAGCTTGGAAATGTTTTTCCTAATGTCTGACCTAAGTTCCTGTTCATGCAGTTTCTTCTCATTCTATTCCCAGTGGAAGTGCAGGACATTTTCTTTTTTTTTTTTTTTTTTCTCCTTTCAACTACTTTTCTCCTAACAAAGTCATGTCTCTCTTGCAGGGCCTGTGTTGGGGTCATTTATCCTGGTCCTGCAGAGCTGGCTCAGTAAGTGGGTCAGGCTAGAATGAGTTCTGGCATGATCAGATAATGTGTTTCAGATGGGCATTGCTGAATGAGCATGTATGTGTTATAACGACTTTGTGCCAGCATGTGCTGGAGTCTGTTGCTCCCTCTTCCAGGGCGAGTCACAACAGCTTGGTTGTGTGCTCAACATGGGCATGATAGTGTGCTGGCCTTTCTGTGTTGCAGGGATTTTGCATGTGTATTCCCTTTATAGAAGGCTGATGGTAGTGGCATGAAGATGTGGTACCTAAGAGAAAAAACGGATTTTAATTGCAGCTGGCCAAATTAAGCTCTACAGTGATGTGAGATTGCCCATATGCAGGACATAGTTCTGTGTTTCTTATTCCTTGGGCATTGCTTACCTGGAAACATTTATCGCAGGTCTCACTCCAGGCCCTTCAGCCATTTGTTGCAGTCCTGCAACTTTGGAATCAGAAGCCCAGGCTGGTGCCAATCCCTTCTGGCTCTGAAATGTCTGCCTGCAGCTCCTCCAGCAGAGCCCTGCAAGCCCCAACAGCCCACAGCTAACTATCTCAGTTCACACAGGGAGCCAAAGAGAAGCGTGAGGACTGGAAGTGATGTATGA